GACTACTACCACTACCACTACCACTATTCCTACCACTAACACTACCACTAACACACTACCACTACCACTACAACTGCCACTATCACTTCCACTACCACTACCACTGCCACTACCACTACTACTACCACTACAACTGTTACAACAACAACTACTACTACTACTACTACTACTACTACTACTACTACTACTACTTCTACGACTACTACGACTACCACTGCTACCCCTACTCCTACTAAAACTACTACTGCTACTACTACTACTACTACTACTACTACTGCTACTACTACTACTACTACTACTACTACTACTACTACTACTACTACTACTACTACTACTACTACTACTACTACTACTACTACTACTACTACTACTACAACTACACTACTACTACGACGACGACGACGACGACCGAAGCGACTAATCACGGACTACTACTACTACCACTACTAACACTACTAATACACCACGGCCACTCTTTACTAATACTTAAAAATACTACCCTACTACTACTAGTGCTACCACTACTACTACTACTACTACTACTACTACTACTACTACTACGACTACGACTACGACTACTACTACTGACTACACTTACTGACTACACTACTGATACACTATCACGGACGATACTATACTACTACTACTACTACTACTACAGGCTACTACTACACTCCTACTACTACGGAGCATAATAATAATACGCTACGAATACTATACTAACACTACTACTATTACTACTATTGACTACTACGTAATAATACTACTACTATAATCTACTACTACTACTACACGATTACTACTAATACTACTATACTACTCATTTAGTGCGCACTACTCCTACTGCTACTTGTAACGACTACTATGACTTACGACACGACCACTACGGCGACGACTACTACTAATTACTACTACGACTCTACTAAAACTTCTACTACTATACTACTCGATACTACTACTACTACTACTACACTATTACGACTACTAATAACTACACTACTGATACTACTACTACGACTAACTAATACGACTACTCTACTACTTACTAATTACTACTACTAAACTACAAACTACAACTGATACAGGAACGTACTAAGACTACTACACTATACTATACACGCTACGACGATATACTACTACTACTTCTACTACTACTACTACTACTACTACTACTACTACTACTACTACTACTACTACTACTACTACGACTAATACGACTGCTGCCACTACCATTACCACCACCACTACCACTACAATTACCACTACCTTTTTCTATTCCTCACTTACAGCCACTGCGAAGTATTATACAACATCCCAGCCCCACCAGCTGAACACTCACACCATGAGAAAGTTAACAAAACTGAGGAACGGGGTGTGCCATGTGCCTGTACCCCCCGAGTCCTAGACAACCGTTGATGCGTTCCACATGAGCGAGCTGGAAGATACAGAATGGCCCAACCAGCCAATTCACACAAACCAGCACGTCATGATATAGGACGCGGGAGGGGGGAAGAGGGGGAAGGAAGAGGAGGGGGAGGAGGAGGAGAGGGAGGACGAACAGCGGCGGCGCCAAGCTCGACCACTACCACTACCACTACCACTACCACTACCACTACCACTACCACTACAACTACCAATACTACCACTACCACTACCACTACCTCTACTACTGCTACTACTACTCCAGCTACTACTACACCTGCTACTACTACTACGGCCACTGATACAACGATGACGACGACTACGGCTACGACTGCAACTCATACTAGTACGAAAACTACTACTACTACTACTACTACTACCACTACCACTACTACTCCTACTACTACTACTACTACTACTACTACTACTACTACTACTACGACTACTACTACTACTACTACTACTAATCATACTAATACTACTACTACCACTACTACTACTACTACTACTACTACTACTACTACTACTACTACTACTACTACTACTGCTACTACGACTACTACTACCACTACGGTTACGACTACCACTACTTCTACGACTACTACCACCACCACTACTGCTGCTACTACTACTACTACTACTACTACTACTACGACTACTACTACTACTACTACGACTACTACTACTACTACTACTACGACTACTACTACTAATACTACTACTACTACTACTACTACTACTGCTGCTACGACTACGACTACGACTACGACTACTACTACTACTACTACTACT